GTCCAGCCAGCGTCCACAGCACAGGTCTTCTTGTCCACCTGGTTTCTGAGAGCTCCTCAGCAGCTAGTGCCCTTTATTCAGCATTCACACAGGACACTAAAACCTCCTACCCTGTGCCCATTCCAACAGGTATATCCATCTATCTTTTCTTCACATGCCTTTCAGGACTGATGCTTCTATCTGGTTCTTTCTAAATCCTTGAGCATTTGATCAACTGGTTAGGCCTTGTCCATGAATCAGGACAAAATCCATACCTGTGTCTATCTCTTTGTCCAGACCAAGTGGACAGCCAGATGCCCAATGGGGATATTTCCCTCCCCATTGCCTTTCAGGGACATTCCTGATTGGAGTCATGATGTTGCAACCATCCACTTCCAACTAGTACCAGCATATTGTGCAGAACCTCTAAACGAGGCCTTAACTCTTTCTTCCTCAGTCAGCTAGTTGTAGGGAACTCACCATGGGGCCATATGTGTGAGTTGAGGAAGGCAGCAATGTACTGGGAGGAGGTGTGTGAGAACTGTGCCAGCTGCTCACAAACTTATTTGTGGATTAAGGACCTGTCCAGTCTAATCTTGTACCTAACACGTCCTCTTAATGATGGAGTGCTGCTGCACATGCCCAAATGTATAATTTGGTACATTAGTAACACTCATGTTAGGCAACTCAGGCATGGCTACTTGGTGTTCCATGGTCAGCATCAAGCTCTAAGAGAGCCTGGTAGCATTTGAAAAGCTCTTTTTCAAAAGGACAATAGCTGGAGGGGTGTGATGATTAATTTTTTGTGACCACTCAGCTGGCCTGCAGTGTATAGGGGAGCTGGAATTCCAAATCAAGCTACGTGGCTCTATTGTCTTTGCTTATAACTATAAGCTTGTCTATATCAACTTTTATCTCTTTGACTATTTAAAAACATTTTTTTTACAATTAATTTCAGAGAGGAAAGGAGAGAGAGGGAGAGAGAGAGAGAGAGAGAGAGAGAAACATCAATGATGAGAGAGAATCACTCTCATCGGCTGCCTCCTGCACACGCCACACTGGGGATTGAACTTGCAACCCGGGCATCCGGAATCAAACCGTGACCTCCTGGTTTGTAAGTCTATGCTCAACCACTGAGCCACACCAGCCGGGCATCTTTGACCTTTTTTAACATACAGGGTAGTTTGAAACCTATATTCTTTGTGTCTTGGAGACTATTCTCTAAGACAGAAGTGATTTTCATGGAAAAAAGAGGTTTCTGGTTGTAATTTCAGTTGTCTCATTGTAGAAAAACAATGTGATTTTGTGTTTGTTAACCACATGTGTCTTCTCTCTTCAGCATGGAGATCTCCTCTCATCAGTCTCAGCTCCTGCAACAACTGAATGAGCAGCGCCGGCAGGACGTGTTCTGTGATTGCAGTATTCTCGTGGAAGGGAAGGTCTTCAAAGCACATCGAAATGTGCTATTTGCTAGTAGCGGCTACTTTAAAATGCTTCTTTCCCAGAATTCAAAGGAGACAAGTCAGCCAACCACAGCTACGTTTCAGGCTTTCTCCCCGGACACTTTTACCGTCATCCTAGACTTTGTCTATTCCGGCAAACTCTCGCTGACCGGTCAGAATGTCATAGAAGTGATGTCAGCTGCTAGCTTCCTCCAGATGACTGATGTCATTAGTGTCTGTAAGACCTTCATTAAATCTTCGTTAGACATCAGTGAGAAAGAGAAAGACCGCTACTTCAGTCTCTCCGATAAAGGTGCCAGTTCTAATGGCATAGAACGTTCCTCTTTTTATAGCGGTGGCTGGCAAGAGGGGAGCAGTTCTCCACGCTCTCACCTAAGCCCAGACCAAGGAACAGGTGTAATAAGCGGGAAATCTTGGAATAAGTATAATTACCATCCAACTTCCCAAAGGAATACTCAGCAACCCTTGGCCAAGCAAGAGCCACGGAAAGAGCCCGTTAAAAAGCCCAGACATTTGAGGTTGTCACAGCCTTCTGAAAGTGCTCATTGTAAGGCAAGCAAGCGAGAAGCACGGACATCTGATCCTTCCAGCCACACTTCCCAGTCTGAAGAGCACGCACACATTGATGCTGAAATGGACTCTGCTGCTGTTGGCTATCAGTACGGTCAAGGCTCTGACGTCACCTCAAGAAGTTTCCCAGGTACCCAAAAGGAGAATCTGTTCCCTCACTCAGGTTCCAGTTCTATAGAAATGAAACCTATCTCAACATGCTCGTACTTTTAGGTGTTCTAGGCAGTTGAACTAAGTGAATTTTAAAATACATATATTTTTATTGATCTCAGAGAGGCAGGGAGAGAGAGATAACATCAATAATGCGAGAGAATCATTGATTGGCTGCCTCCTGCATGCCCCTACTGGGGATCGCTGAGCCATGCTGGCCAGGCTACCCCTAACCTCTATTATTTTTAAGCAAATCTCAGACACCATATGTTTTAATCTGTAAATATTTCAGAATGTATTCCTAAAATATAGAATTAAACCACACTCCAGTACCATTGTTATACCTAAACAAAGTTAACAAATTCTTAATATCACTAACTAGCCTGTCAATATTCACATTTCCCTTGTTGTCATACAGATTTCAAAAAAATTTTCCACAACCCAGGTACATGCCCTTGACCGGAAGCGAACCTGGGACCTTTCAGTCCGCAGGCCAACGCTCTATCCACTGAGCCAAACTGGTTAGGGCTAGATAACATATTTTTAAATGAAAGCAACGTGGTTGATTTTTTTTTAATATATTTTATTGATTTTTTACAGAGAGGAAGGGAGAGAGATAGAGAGCTAGAAACTTCGATGAGAGAGAAACATCGATCAGCTGCCTCCTGCACATCTCCCACCGGAAATGTGCCCGCAACCCAAGTACATGCCCTAGACCGGAATCGAACCCGGGACCTTTCAGTCCGCAGGCCGACGCTCTATCCACTGAGCCAAACCTGTCTTGGCAACCTGGTTGATTTTTACTAATAACATTTTCTTATAGGATACTAACAGGAAAATGTATGAAATTGTATTACCATATTGCAGAGCTTACTAAAAATCCTGCTGAGTTCTAACCATTGACCAAGGCAAGCAAATAGCATAGAAAAATAGGAAATCTTGTTATATTTTTAAAACAGCAATAGAGTCCCCTTGGCCAGGTGCTAGTTGGTTAGAACATTATCCCTTATACACTAAGGTTAGGGGTTCGATCCCAGGTCAGGGCACATAACAAGAATCAGCCAATGAATACATAAATAATGGAACAACAAGCCGGTCTTTTCCTCTCTCCCTCTGAAATCAATAAATAAAAAATAAATAAAGCATACTTTTTTTTTTATCCTCACCTGAGGATATTTTTACATTGATTTTTAGAGAGAGTGGAAGAGAGAGGGAAAGACAGAGAGAAATAATGATGTGAGAGAAACACATCTATTGGTTGCCTCCTACACATGCCCTGACCAGGGCTCTGGCCGGGGAGGAGCCTGCAACCCAACTAAAGTACTACATGCCCTTGACCAGAGCTGAACCCCAGGTCCTTTGGTCCATAGAGGACACTTTATCCACTGAGCCAAACCGGCTAGGGCGAGCCATGCTTTCTTTATTTGGGCTCTGCCCTTTTCTAATTCTAGGCTATTAAATCTAACTTCAGGAAAGAACAGTTGAATTAATAACTATTAAATTGAGGTTTGCTTCCGGTCACAACTAACATGTTGAATACATGACATTTAAAATAAAAAATTAGCCTGGCCAGCATGGCTCAGTGGTTGAGCATCGACCTATGAACCATGAGGTCACAGTTGGATTCCAGGTCAGGGCACATGTCCGGATTGCAGGCCTAATCCCCAGTGTGGAGCGTGCAGGATGCAGCCAGTAAATGATTCTCTCTCATCGTTAATGTTTCTGTCTCTCTCTTCCTCTCTGAAATCAATAAAAAAATATTTTTTTTAAAAAAGGACAAGATAAAGAACAGTTCCATAACCACAGGATCACTCATGCTGTGTTTTAAAACAAAAACAAAAACAGCTCTCGCTGGTTTGGCTCAGTGGATAGAGCATCGGCCTGTGGACAGAGGCGACCTGGGTTTGATTCCGGTCAAGAGCACATGCCTGGGTTGTAGGCTTGATCCCCAATAGGGTGTGTGCAGGAGGCAGCCAATCAATGATCAGTGATTCTCATCATTGATGTTTCTATTTCTCCCTTCCTTTCTCTGAAATCAATAAAAATATATTATAAAAATAAACAAAAATGTATCCCTGGATGAAGATTCAAAAATAATAATAATAGCCCTGGCCAGTTTGGCTCACTGGACAGAATGTTCACCTGTGGACTGGAGGGGCCCTGGTTCGATTCCAGTCAAGGACACGTACCTTGGTTGCAGGCTCCATCTATGGCCCTGATCGGGCCATATGGGAGGCACCCAGTCGATGTATCTCACTTCAGTGTTTCTCTCTGTCTCTCCCCTCCCACTCTCCCTGAAAATCAATGGAAAAATATCCTCGGGTGAGGATTAACAATAATGATATTAAAAAAATAAGAGCTTTACATTCCAGAATTTAAAACAAATTAAAGACCCTTGAAAGTGTTTCAACTTTAAATGTACTACAAGTGCATGAAAAATAAAGGCAAGGGGAATACAAACTTTAAGTAAAACAAGTTACTTAAAAGCTTCAATATTAAATATTTTTATTTTGGGATTGTATCTACAGTTTTAAAATCCAGTACTATCTTTTTACATTCAATAGTTATTGACTCTATGACATTTAATAAGAAGGTAAATGTGACAGTCTAAATTTACCAGACTGTAAATATATCAAATACTGAATACTGAAGTTATAGTTCTGTACTTACTGTTACATTGACAATCAAGTCTTCATTTCTTTCTACCTTTTTTTTTTTTTCTTCTGCCCCCCCTCTACCTTTTCAAGTTCAGACTCAACAAGTCCTTCTGGATATTTTTGTGTGATTAGAATTGTTATTATGAATTTTCCAGTGATTTAATCAAACTGTGTCCTGACAGATGATTTGCCCAGGATGAGATTCAAGTGCCCATACTGCACACATGTGGTGAAGCGGAAAGCCGACCTAAAGCGCCACCTTCGTTGTCACACAGGAGAACGGCCCTACCCATGTCAAGCTTGTGGGAAGAGATTTAGCAGGCTGGACCACCTAAGTAGCCATTTTCGAACAGTATGTATTTGATTTTTTATTCAAATTTTACTTCTTAAATACATGCAATTAGGATAATCAATTTATGATGGAAATCTTTTCTCACAACTCTACCATATTAAAAGTTTTTCTAACTTAATGTTTTTACTTTGCACATAATGCATAATTCAATTTTTATGTTTTTCTTTTTATTCTTTGAGACCTTGAAGTCAGTGATATTCTTTTGAGTATTCACTTTAATGCATTTAAAATCTAACAGGTTTTTATAGACTGGTCTTTTTGGAGCCAATATAAACTGTAAAAATGTTTTAAATGTCTGGGTCAGAATCACTTTAGATCCTCAGCATCTACTGGTGACTCTTGAATCCTTATCTGGTAGAATTTCTAGTTTCAGCTGTTGGGTATCTCTGCATGACACTGCCTTTCTAGTGTCCCTCTAGTTTCTTTACAGTCTCCTCAGGGAAGGCAGCAAGGGAGGCAATAGAACCACTCCCAGTCGAGGACTGGATTGTCAGAGTCCGAAAAATCTCAGGGAATTTGCTGGTCAATGCTCTAGTGGTTTAATACTGTAGTAACATTGGAACATTGTTCTGCTGATCATCTTGCAATAAGAATTTTTTCCAAAATCTGTTCTTTACTTGTACTTCAATTCCATTGATGAGATCCTTTTAATTTTAAAGGACACTGGGTACCTTAAAGTAATTTCTTCATGCATTGCTTTATAGTTATTTATTCAACAAATATACCTGAGCACCGATTATGTGTCAGACCCTTTTCTAAATGTTGGTATACAGCAGTGAGCAAAACAGACAAAATGTCTGCCTTTATTAATCTCATGAAGCTAACACCTGAACTAAGATATGTAATATCATCATAGTAGTACATGGCATATATTAAGTATTTACAATTATTATTGTTCTGAAAAGATGTCCTGTATTACCTCAGATATCAAAATACTATTGGATTAATACTATTGGCCATTATTTAGAGAACACTGGTGTGTAATATTTCAGTGATGTCAATTTATCACCAAAATCTTTCTTTTTCTAATAACTAGATGCTTTTTTTTTTAATTTAAAGGTCGTTGAGATTTAACTTTTTAAGTACATTTTTAAAAAATTGATTTTAGAGAGGAAGGGAGAGGGAGAGGGAGAGAGAGAGAAACATCAATGATGAAAGAGAATCATTGATTGGCTGACTTCTGCATGCCCTCCATTGGGGATAGAGCCTGCAACCCGGGCATGTGCCCTTGACCTGAATTGAACCCGGGACTTTTCAGTTTGCAGGTCAACACACTTCAGTGGTTCTCAACCTTCCTAATGCCGCGACCCTTTAATACAGTTCCTCATGTTGTGGTGACCCCCAACCATAACATTATTTTCGTTGCTACTTCATAACTGTAATGTTGCTACTGTTATGAATCGTAATCGTAATGTAAATATCTGATATGCAGGATGTATTTTCATTGTTCGCGACTCACAGGTTGAGAACCGCAGCACTAGGTGCTAACTTAATAGGCTTTGAACATCTTAAGTTTATGAACTCATACCTAGAATATCAAATTGTCCTGCTTTTAAAAATCCTTTTTTTATCACTATTTAAATCTCTACACAGATTCACCAGGCATGCAAACTAATCTGCAGAAAATGCAAACGCCATGTGACTGATCTAACAGGTCAAGTGGTCCAGGAGGGAACCCGGCGCTACAGACTCTGTAATGAGTGCCTTGCTGAAGTTGGCATAGACAGCCTCCCCATTGATCTGGAAGCTGAACAGCATCTTAGGTCCCCATCGGATGGCGATAAGGATTCCAGGTGGCGTTTGAGTGAAGAAGAGAATAGGTCATATGTGGAGATTGTAGAGGATGGGTCTGCCGATCTGGTCATACAACAAGTTGATGATAGTGAAGAAGAAGAAGAAAAGGAAATAAAGCCCAACATTAGGTAGCTGTAATGTGCACCAACAGAGCTGGCATGTCTGCAACTGACATCGACTTCCTGTATCTCTCTCTTTTCCATGGTCAGAGACTGATTAACAAATTGTCAGACTGACTTAAAAGTAATGGCCTACTATAACTTGCATGCTTTCTGAACAGGCCATTGTATCCATTCTGAACTTTGTTGCCCTAAAACATGTTGCTGCACTGGAAAGAAAGACCTAGCTTGAGTTGGCATGACAGATGAACAGTTAATCGTCTTACTTTTATTACAGAGATGCCTTTTTTCTTTTAATATTGGAAGATCTACTTAGCAAACGTTTTTCAAATAAAATATTTTTTAAAATATTTTTATTGGTTTCAGAGAGGAAGGGAAAGACAGAGATAGAAACATCAATGATGAGAGATAACTACTTATCAGCTGCCTCCTGCACGCCCCACAGTGGGGACCGAGCCTGCAACCCAGGCGTGTACCTTGACCGGGAATTGAACCGTGACCTCCTGGTCATAGGTCAGTGCTCAACCACTGAGCCATGCTGGCTGGGCTCAAAGAAAATATTTAAAATAAATTCACCACAACCAAACTTCATGTAAGGTAATTTTAAGGTGTTTCAAAAACATAAACTATTGAGTTTTCATAGGGAACCAAGTAAAGCACATTTAAGAGTCAGGCACCCAAAACTGACTGAACTAATGTTATTCTATTAACTTAAGGTCCACACCAACCTATCATTCTGATATCCTAAATGATTTAGGATTATGGCAGAAGACAAATCTAAAATGTTTGAAATCGTTCATATTTGAACTTTTTGCCATTAAGTTAAAAAATTACTCATGCAGTTAGTAGTATTAAGAAAAGCAAAAACTACTAGTAAAGTAGAGGCTGACCAGAGATTATATACAGATACCATTTTCTTAAAGCAGGAAACTAATGATGCCTAAAAGTCAAGGTAGTTTGTGAAGATGTGTCCATATAGTTCTCTTCCCCTCTAAAGAAAAAAACACAAGAACACTGGAGGTTCCTGCCAGTTCTTAAGAGCAGTTTCTAACATTTATGTACTGCTTGCTATATTTTTTATAAAGTGCTATCTCACACATTTTCTCACCTAAGCAGCGAGATAAATATTGTCTTTGATTTACAAATGAGGAAATTAAGGTCAGAAAGTTTATGTGGTGGGACTGGTGACTGGACAGGTTTTGATTTTAAACAGTCCTCTTTCAGCCTTTTCTCCTCATACTGTCCCCTGGAATGGTGAAGAAATGAAGTTGCACTTCACCAGTCTGCTGTAGTTATAAAAGAAGCCTATCAAAATTAGGAAGTATGACAAAGAGGAATTTAATCTTCAACATGCTTTGAACTAGTTATTCATATAGTGCTAAGTAATGTCCCTACAGTATCTATTGACATGTTTTATGTCATTATTTATATGTAAGTTTTTTATATAAAATGATTTGAAGAAGTTATTGTCTTAAACACTTTAAGCATTTTTGCTTATCCTGTGTATATACTTTTTCAGAACAAACTTTTCTCATAGGATACAAAGTTAATTTTAAACTCTTCCCCTGTGTGACTTATGGAACATTCCAAAATTACAGGTAAATTGAAGAAGCATTATTTTACTTTACTTCTAAAGATAAAATTTATATACCAGAAGTAAAGAACTGACCTCCATAAAGGTCTCTGCAAGTTATCACAATAAAGCTTGATATAAATGAATTTTGATAGAGGCTCCATGTATTATACTGTATTTTTATTTTAATTCTCACCTGAGGACATGCTTAGAGAGAGGAAGAAGGTGGCGGGGAGGAAGGGAGAGAGAGAGAGAGAGAGAGAGAGGGAGAGAGAGGGAGAGAGAGAGAGGAGAGAGAGGGAGAAACATCGATGTAAGAGAGAAACATTGATCAGTTGCCTTGTGTACATGGCCTAACCAGGGATCAAAGCTGTGACCCAGGCATGTGCCCTGACTGGGAATCGAACTGGCAACCTTTCAGTGCACAGGATGATGCTCAACCAACTGAGCCACTCCGACTGGGCTATTATACTGTATTTTTAAATACAGCCTGACATACCTCAAGATGATACTTTTTGTTATTTTTTAAATTTAATTAATGATTGTCCTTGATGCCAATTTGTGGGCTAAAATGATTAATTTCTAAAAAATTTGTATTAAGTAGATGAATAACCTTTTTTTTTAAAATGGTACTTAATTCTGAGACTTTTTCAAGATTCCTCTGATGGTAAATTTCCAGTTGCTTCAAGACTGGATAGTGTGCATCGAGTTCATTGTTCTCCCAACATGACTGTTCCTGAATCAGGAGTCATCAGTATCCCAGTGAGGGAGGGAACAGTTGTCACTCACCAGCTAGTGGTAACAGCTTTCCAAATTATAATCTGATTTTTAGTCATTGGAGCCAATAGGAAAAATTACTGATTTGAGTTTCATTCATAGAAATGAAGGAGTGCTTGCATGTATATACTCTAACGCACTTTATGACCTAAATGTTCTTTTATGCTATTGTCTTCTGCATGCAAACTTTACATACAGCAGCATGAATGTCAGCGAGGTCCACTGAACCCAGTGCCACCAGCACTGTAGAGCCTTATCAGAAATAATGCTTTCTTACAATTGTTTATAACAAGCATCAATCCTAACAAAACAGCTACCAAATTCACCAAACTACACAGCCTATCTGTTCTATCATTTTAGTATCGTAAAAGAACGTTCCTGACATGTTTGCAAGTTGTAAATAATATTCCAGTTATCATATGTATCTAAGACTTTAGAGACCAATTCTTTTCTAGAGTGAAACTATTTATTGGTTTCTGAGAAAACTAAATTCTTTGGCTTTTAAATGTGGGAAAATGTTACATAATGGTATAATCTGTTAATATAAGCTTTATTTATGCCAATGACTTTTTTTAATATTTGGAAAATAATGGGAATTGGTTAGACCAGCTTGCTCTTG